CTGGTTTCGGGAGCAGTTCTCGCCCTTTGTGCATCGCTACAAGTGGGGCCAGGACCAGTACGGGGAGCAGATGCTTCAGTACCAAGGGCGCACTGAGCTGCGGAAGGACGGCCTTGCCAAGGGCAGCGCGGACTTGAAGCTTTTCCATGTCCGACCATCTGACACAGGGACTTACACCTGCTTTGTTCGCCGTGGCTCAGATTACGACAAGGCTAAGGTGGAGCTCAAGGTGACAGGTCTGTAGTTTGTGCCCCTGGTTCCTCTGATTTACTTGCTCCTGGCCAGTGCTCTTGTTCCCTGTCCTTGTGCCCAGAAACAGTTTCAGGGGGTTGCTTTGGAAATAGGGTTTTATGAAGTCCCACTGTTGAAAATAGCAGGAATGTTTCATAGAGGTAGAACTGCCCACCGAGTAGCCATAAGGAGCTCGTAAGGTGCTTCCCCCTTCAAAAGTGTTCTTGATATTGCTTCACAACAGCAGCACTTGTTTTTGAACCCTTGTTCTGCTTGTTCTTTGGGAATGAACAAGTCCTTGAGACTTTATTCTCCTGGGGATCCATTACTTTTCTCCTGGTGATGCTGTTTTGCACTAGAGTGCTGCTCTTGATGCACATCACCCTATTTCTGATCCCATGTTGCCTAATGAAATACAGCATTTGGGTTTTTTTCAAAGGAGAAGAAAGGATGATTTAATCAGAACTAACTTGGTTAGAAATCCCTCTTCCTTTTAGAATTCCTCCACAATGCGGAGGAATTTCATCAGCCTGGGAAAAGTGCAAAATTGCCCAAATTGAATTTTTGTTCAATATATCAATTTTTTGTCTCTTTGTGAGGTAGAGTCTGGTTTTCACCCTCGGTGGGATTCAGACAGAATGACCTGGTATGAAATAGAAATTATCTCCTTTCAGTTGCTACTTGCACAGTAACCTCCCCCTTGGTGATTTAAATTTTCAGATCCCTTTTTCGAAGATACCCATCCTTGGAGGACTGCCCTGGGCGTGGTCCTGGTTGCTGTCATTGCTCTCCTTATTATGACTGTTTATCTCTTTAGAATTAAAGGTACTGTTCTGAGTTTGGGGCTGGGGAAGGGACTGGGCAGCCATCCTACTCAGCCACCTGTAATCCTGATGGGTGAGGGGGCTGAGAAAAACCTGGAAGGAACCAAAGTTGACCTTAAAGCAGCATCAGCTACTCCTCTGCCCCAGTACAGCAATGCATCAATAATTTGCCTTGAGCTGCAGAGAATCCCTGGCAGTTCGGGGGGCCTGGCAGGGCCTCCTTTCCTTTTAAAGTTGCAGGAAGCTTTGGGGTAGCACATTCCATTGTGCAGGGGCCTGAGCTTTTCTGAGCAGTGCAGAGCACAGGCACAGGGCCCTTAGGTAGCACTGCAGGGGACATTTCAGCCCCTGCTCCTCCCTTGTGGCTGCAAAGCTGCCCCTTTCCCGCTGCCCTGGAGCTGCAGCCCGTGCTCAGGTCTCCAGCAGCACGTGCTGATCTCTGCCCACAGTGGGATCAGGCAGGGTGGGCGACACCCCCAACGTCTTGGCAAGACAGGCCCTGAGGAGCTCCTGGGCTGCAGCTTTGCCCTTGGCAGCAGTTTCAGCCTCCTCCCTACCCCAAGGAGTGTATCAGGGAAACGGCCCCAACTTTGCTGCTGACACTCTGATCTGCTTTTGGTGGGTTTTTTCTTTCACTTTTAAAGTGTGAACCAAAAAGTGGTTCACTTGGTGATGGCTAGACGGACAGACTGAATTTGAGACTTAAAATTCAAGGTCTCTGACAATGGTGCCTGGGGATGGGAAGGGGTGGTGGCAGCAGCAGAACTGGCAGGGTGGGAGTGCCCTGGTCCCCTTGGAGATGAGGGAGCTCCCCGAGATCATTTCCTGCCCCCATTGGAGCAGGACAAGCTGCAGCGTGGCCGGGGGAGCAGAGCTCCAGGCTGGGGGTGGCACAGGGCTTTGCACTGCTCACCCTGGGCATAAACCCGCCCTGCAGCACCTGCAGGCAGGTACAGGAGAGGGCAGACAGGCCATGTCCAATTCTATGGCCCACAACCCATTTGTGATGGTTTATCTTCCTTTACAGGGAAACAAGCCAAGGAACTCAGTGAGTATCATTATCTTTTCTGTCCTGTGTTTCTCATGTGTGCCCTCATTTTGGGCACAGAACAAATACAGAACTTGTTTCACAAAGATGATTTTCCTTTGGTCTCTGTGTGGTTTTAGGCTCTTCCCTGTTACCTTAGTTCTGTATTAAGGAGGAAATTTTGTCAGTTTTCAAAGTACAAAGTGACCATCAATGCATGTCCCAATCAGGACAGGCAGTGTGATTGCAATTGGGTGCAGCCCTTCCATGTACTCAGACACTGCAGTCTTGAAGCAACTCACTCTGAGATGACTTTCACAAAGAGAACATCAGTGCAGAAAATGTGCACCTCCACTGCCATATCATTACCCTGAGCTAACCCAGCACCCATGTTTTCCATTGCCTCTGACCTGTGGGTTTTGTGTGTTTTTTTAAGCATGGAGAAGAGACGCAGTGCTGATAGAAGAAGGTAACTAAGCTTGGTCTTTCATGATGCTGAATCATCTTCCCTGCTTTGATCCCCCTTCCTGGCACTTCCCCTCCTGCAAGTGATGCTGCTGGGAGCAGGCATGCTTCTGCTGACCCTCCCTTGAATTTGGTGCATGTCCCACTTTCAGGCAAATCTGCAGAATCCTTGTCCTCAGGGAGCTGTGTGAAATTCTTCATCCTGGAGGTCTGCTGATGATCCTCTTCCCTCTCTGCTCACTCTGTTCTCTCTGCTTCATTTTCTCTTCCTTGCACTCGAGTTGTTACCTTGTGCACCTTCCCATGCCACAATCTGCCAGCTCTCACTCCAACCCTGCCTCTTCCTTGGGCAGCCCCAGCAAAGATCTGTCCTGGGGTGAGCTCTGCCCTGATGTACTGATTCCATCTCTCCTGCAGGGAACGTGGTTCTGGATCCAGACAAAGCCCACTGTGAGCTTGTTGTGTCTGACAATGGCAAAAGTGTGACACGAGGTGACCCACGAGAGGACATCCCTGACACCTCCAACAGATTTAACCTGCAGACCTGCGTTCTGGGCCGTGACGGCTTCACCTCTGGGAGACACTACTGGGAGGTTGAGGCGAAAAAGGATACAGGAACATGGGCTGTGGGGGTCTCTAGAGAAGATGGGAAAAGGAAGAGTTATTTTACTTTGAAACCAGAGGAAGGCATCTGGGCAGTGGGGAAACAGGGAGAATGGTTGAAAGCTTTCACCTCCCCTCATCCTACTTCGTTTCCTGCAATCCAGGCTCCCAGGTGGATCAGGGTCTCTCTGGATTATGAAGAGGGACGGGTGTCATTTTTCAGTGTTGATAAGGGGATTCACATCTTTACATTTTCACAGGCATCATTTGGGGGGAGAAAAGTCTACCCTTGTGTCTGGGTGGGTCATGAGACATGTCTGAAAATATGGCCCTGATGAAGAGGAGGCAGTAAGAGAAGGTTCTCCAAGGGCAGAGATCTCGTTACCTCTCTGGACCTCTCTTCCATACTGCATCTCTCTAAGATCTTTCTCTGAGGCCAGACAGGCTGTTCTGGTTCCGGTGCAGATCAGTGGGAGAGGCCATGGCCAAGATGATACCACCTCACATCATTTCCAGGTGTGTGGAAAAGGAACTTTCTCTCTTGCTTCTGAGGGCAAGAGTTCCTTAAGTGTGGAGGCTGGAACCATTGTTCCATTGTCTCAGGCTCACTGAACATTTGGCATGTAAATCGCCCTCTCTTTGTACACTCTTCTTCTCAGTTTGGTTGCTTTTTCTGTTCCTTTTATGATATCATTGCTGTTTCCAGTGTATTGTTCTTCTCACAACCCAGGATCTTTGCCTTTTGTGCTTTCAACCAGAGGTTGAGCAGCATCTGCTTTGGGAGAGTCTGGGTGGGAGCTCTTAACTGGGGAGTGTGATAAACTGGCTGTACTTTGAAGAGATTTTGGTTAGGCTTGGTGAAACTTCAGGGCCTTGCTGTGTGATTTCCGTGTGTATT